TTTTTAACATTCAGAATGCTTTAAAAATTCCATTTACAAGACAATTATTTATAATAAAATTCTATTCAATTGGGAGACTCATAACGATTGAAAACAATGTTTTTGTTTGAGTTTGGGTTTGACCAATTCCTAAAAAAAAAAAAAAAATAATAATTAAGACATGCGTGTCCGTCAACCTTAAACAATAATCTTTGTCAATTTTATTTTTCAGTCTTTATGATGGTCGATACTTGATCTATCTCTTACTGTTATATCCCCGGGCAACGCCGGACTCTACTGCTAGTACATAATATAATGAATTTTCATTAACATTACATCATTTATTTCTTTTTCCTTAAAATCAATTCCGTTATATTTCACTCACCATTAGCTTATTTTGTTTAATATAAAACATTAAAAATAAATGTTAAACCTGATTTCAGTCCTTTTATTTTAATCTAAATATAACCCCTCATATCCGAACTTTGTAAGAATTCCTCATAGTTAGAAGGCTTTCGTAGTCCGGTTGTTAGGGATTCTACTGTATAATGACTCTACTTCATCTCAGTGGTAAACGTGAAACGAAAAACATAAAATGATTTTCTCTCCTGGGGGTTAGCATGCGCCATGTTTATAGAAGGCAGAAAAGATTTATCTATGGTGATTAAAAGATAGAATCGTTTTGGAGTCGTTAAAATTTACAATCTTTTTCTTGTCCCAATTGACAAGTGATTGGGAGTCATTTTCGCGATGAGACACCGGTTTTACTTTATCGAACTTACCGGACTTACTATTAACAGGAGTAAACAGGTGTGTCATCAGCATAAATACCTAGTCGGGAAGTTCATTGACGAAAATCAGAAACAGCATAGGTTCAATGATAGAACTTTTGGACACGCACATTAATGCAAAATGTTTTAGAAGTGTATCTTGCATTAGGCGATTTATTCAGGACGATTAAAGGCAAATATTAATCCGGGGTTGATTAGAGCGCTAATTACTTTGCCAAAAGAGGTTAACAGACAAATAGGATGATACTTCGAGGAATCAGAAGGTTCACCAAAGTTTTTAAAGAATGGAAAACAAGAAAAAGGATAATGTACTGTTAAAGTATAAAAAACAAAATGTTACGAAATTGTCTCTTCGATTAGTTCAGTGGCATCTGTTCACCATTTTTAATTATTCGGTTTGACTTGTCGGCCAATTTTTTGAAAATATAACAAACAGTTGGACACTTTATTCCTAACATGATCCTTATATGAAACAAATAAATATTCAAAAACGGGAAAAAAATATGATAAAATTATATTTATTAGGCAGACATTTTTGGTTGAAATAAGTAAAAATAGTTTAGAAGAATACTTGCTGCCTAAAAAGAAATCACACACACATACACACACACACACACATATATATATTGATAATATTAGTAGTCAATATGCATATATATATATTGCTAATATTAGTAGTCAGTATACATATATATATATATATATATATATATATATATATATATATATATATATAATATTAGTAGTCTAAATATATATACATATGTATGTATATATAAATTCCCAAGAGGATAGAATCCACGTAGAACTTAATGTCAAGGACAGAGTAATAATATAATATAAAAGACGCAAACACTATTATTAAATGGTTATAATTTATTACATTGGAATCGTAATTCATTTTCAATTTGTAGGTCTCATGAATTGGATCGTGGTTACGATTCCAATGTAATACATTTCAACCATGGAATATTAGTGTTTGAGGATTTTATTCTTATTATATATATATATATATATATATATATATATCGACCCCGGCCGTCTATCCACACTGAAGACCTGTGATACAGCAAAAAAGGCTGTCTGTGGATGACAGTATATGCTCCCGGAAATCCGGTTTAAGCCCCCGAGAGAAAGGGTGTTTTAAAAACACCGCTTCCTACTGTTATTAATGCATTAATCTTCAAGTACGAATTGAGTTTTCCGTGCCACTGGTGTATTTCGTATACAAAAACGTTAAAATGTCTCTTCCCCTCTGATGTTCGACGATAGCCTAGTGGGTAGGATCTCTGACTCTTGTCAAATAGGCCGGTTTTTGATGCCAGCTTAAAGTATAGTCACACTGAAGATCTGTGATACAGCGAAACGGTCTGTCTGTGGATGACAACACACACACTCACAGACACACACACACATATGTGTGTGTGTGTTGTCATCTATATATATATATATATATATATATATATATATATATACATATATATATACACACACACACATATATATGTGTGTGAGTGTGTTGTCATCTATTTATATATATATATATATACACACACATATATACACACACATATATATACACACACAGACACACACACACACATATATATATATATATATATATATATATATATATCGTCTCAAGTTTTTGATTTTATAAGAAAAAAAAAAAAAAAAAACACATGCCTGATGATGGATGGAAGACCGTCCGTAAGTACTAGCATTTTAACATCGAATAAACTGAAAACTACAGACAACAAGTTTTTCTTCAAGGATCAAAACTCGCACTATGGATGAACAGGATTTTAATGCATATATTATGTTTTCTAGTGACGGATGTCGCCAATAATCGCATTGATACTTCTGATTAATTCTATGTGTGATTAATTTTATATATATATATATATATATATATATATATATATATATATATATATATATATATATATATATAGCATAATGAGAAGCCACGTATACTTTCTTAATATGTATATATAGAAAAAGTTTCAAATTGAAAATTATAGTGTTTTATTTTATGAAAGTATTTATTTATTTATATATATAACTGGTTGTAACAACAAAATTGTCCTATTATTAGATGAAGCTTTGAACCGTTGTATCTTAGAAATGGTCCCGTAAGTTTAAGAGGCTTAAGCCACGAGAGATATGTTAAGGATAGTTGTCAAACCCGGGATGTTTATTTGATTTTGTTTAGTTGCATATCAACACCTCTATGGATTATTTAATGCCGAAATTTAAATACTTTGAACACAAATAAAATGAATGCACTATAAATAAAATATATTACTGGTCATTTTGGAATAAAATTTATAGTTTGCAATTTTTTATGTAAAAATGTATTGCTGATACTTTTAGTTTAAAAAGGTATGTTTATAAGTTGATAGTGTTTGTGGGTTCAGCTATGGGCAGTAGCTGGAATCCTAACAGTTGCTACAAACCAGGGTCGGGTGGACCTGAGGACAACACCAGTTAAGATGTCGTTTCACACTTCTCAAAACCTCCGGTCTCCTGATCTGACATTTTGCTGTCGGATCTAGTTGCGTATGAAGGAGAAGTGTGACGCTGAATCGCTCCATATGGGAATAAATTCACCGCTTGATATACATCAATGCTTATTTAACCTTTAAAGAGATCAAACAATGGATATGAGCGCAGTTAGGCGGTGGGCAATTCCATGTTTACAAACACGACATGAAAACTCTTGTCCATTAAGGTTGAAAACGCATAGCAGGGGTTCCTTGTAACCTACCAGAATATATTTAACCCCTACTGGCATGATCTTTTTTTATAAGAGTCAGACTAAAAATGGAGTATTATTGATATAAGTGGGCTGTTTCTTTCCACTCCTTATTTTGACAGTTTGCAAAAGCGATTATGCGGCCTTGTGGGTGATGAAATAACCCCTTACCTACAGTCGAAATGTTACACGCCTCTTGCCATTCTCACCGACATTTCCATGACAGATGTTCAGCGCGGCTTCATTCATTAGTTCAACCAGTTCAGACCTTCACACTTAGAAACCATCATGCCACATACACACCGTCAAATCATTCCTATTCCCTTCATATTGCTTCGGTAAGGTGAAAGTTACACATGCCTCTCACTCCACAGAGCAGAAACCCAAACGGATGTTTCACCGCCCACTATAATTTTAATCTCTAGCTTCAACTGTTTATCTATCCTAAATATCCTCATATTATGTTATTTTTACCTCCTTCCTTTACACACTTACAATAACCGCATTCAGCAAAGCTCTGTCTTGAGTGTCTCTTGGGCTTTATATTGAGTCAATAATAGTAAAAAATAAAATTTAAAAAGTTAGAGAAAAAAACAAAAAGAAATATATTAGGTTGGTTTTGGGCAATTTTTTTTACTAATATTCGCAAAATAGAAGGCCCAAGAGCCATTCAAGTAGGTATTGTATTAGTGCAAGAAAGGGTAAGTTTGCGGGTCTATGGAGCAACGATTACGGCTAAATCAATACTTAAAGAAGTCAATATTTAATTAGCGAATAAGATTTCAGAGTTCAGTCAGAGACGTTAGAAGTATAGCATGTAAGTAGAAGGAACCTGAAATGCCATTCTAAACAGGAAACAAAGGATAAGCCTCTACTCCTGTTCAAGAAACTGGGAAGGTTGTAAACTGGACAATAGGCGAACCTATCTACTCCTATTATTTTATATGTAAACAAAAAAGAATGATGTTGCCTGTGGTGACATTGTCGTTTAGAATCGAAATAACATTACAGCGTTCAGTGTGGGACCATAGAAATATAGTTTAGAAGTAAACTTTAAAAGGAACCGGAAATGCCATCCTAAACAGGAAACAAAGGATAAACCTTAACTCTTGTTCAAGAAACCGGGAAGGGGGTAAACCGGACAATAGGCGAACCTATCTACTCCTATTTTGTTATATGTAAATAAAAAAAAAATGGTGACATTCGGCTTTGGAATTGAAAACTTGGTCTGTTATATTTTTGTTATCGTAATTCCTCTGTTTCAGTTTTCGTGGAAATAAATGGGAGACCATATTTTCTGTGCTTTCCTTCTCTGTGTTTTCACGTTTTTTTGTTTCCCTACACACACACACACAAATACTTACACACACATACATATATATATATATATATATATATATATATATATATATATATATATATATATATATACATTTATCTTTTATTTATTGCAGCTTAATCTTATCTTTCAAATGTTGTTCTCTTTGTCCGACTTTTGTCCCTTTCATCATTTATTTTCTTTCTTCTCCGACATTTTTCTTTTTCTTTTGACGCCCTATTTTAATATTTACTTCTTCACAATCCTTTCTTCTTGCCAGATCTTGGAGCGTAATCTTTAGTTTTTATGTTTCATTCGTTTCTTGCTTCTTTTTCATTCTTTTTTGATTCCCTTTAATTTTGTGTTTTGCGTTTTTTTTCCTCTAAATCGCTGCGCATTTAATTTATTCTTTATTCTCGTCCTCCTTTTTTCACTCCTTTTCTTTTTTTTTCTTTGTCTCTGTATCTGTTTATTTCACCTCATCTTATTAAATTCCTTATTTTTCTTTCTTTCTTTATTTCTTAGTTTCTTTTATAATTTCTTTTTTATCACGTTATCTTACTTTTCCTTCTTTCTGTCTTATTTTAGTTCTTTCTTTCTTTCTTTCTTTCGCGTAATCTTATTTTTCTTTCTTTCTTAATTTCTTTATTACTTTCTTTCTTTTTTACTATCTTACTTTTTACGTCATCTTATTTTTCTTTCTTTCTTAGTTTCTTTCTTTCTTTCTTTTTCACGCCATCTTATTTTTTCTTTCTTTCTTTTTTTCACGTTATTTCCTTATTTTCACTATCTTCTTTCCTTTTTCTTCCTTCTCACATTCATCGTTTATTCTATATATTTTTCTTCGATTTTTTTCTTTTCTTTCTTGCCCCTTTCTTATTTTTCAATCCTCTCTACATTTTTCATACTTTAATTTTTCAGTTATTACTGTTCTTTCTTTCTTTCTTTCTTTCTTTCTTTCTTTCTTTCTATTCACAATTCTCATTGATTTCTATATTTTGTTCTTTTTATTTATTCATGTATTCCTCACCATCCTTTTCATTCCACCTATCTTTTCTTTTTTTCTCTCCTCTTTCCTTCCTACTTTTTTTCTCTTCAAATTTTTTACTACTTACTTTTATTTTTTTTCTTTATTTACTTCCTTTTTTGATCATTTTTTTCTTTTTTACATTTCTTGTATCCTTTTTCTTTCTTTCTTTCTTTCTTTTTTCTTTCTTTCTTTTTTCTTTCTTTCTTTCTTTATTTATTTCTTTCTTTATTTCGTTCTTTCTTATTGTTCGCTCTTTCTTTCTCAATGTCGGCTCTTTCTTTTTAATCTGTACCCCGTATTTTGTTTCTATTCCTTCTTTCTTTTTATCTTTTACAAGACCTCATCGCGGCACCTATACCTTTCTACTTTCACTTTCCTTCCTTCCTTCCTTCCTTCCTTCCTTCCTTCCTTCCTTCCTTAATTTAAGCCCTTGCTTGGCGTTAACGCATTATTATGTAAGGTATGTTTTTGCGATAAATCTTGGAAAGAAGACACCATCTTATCCTAACAGAACTTCCTTATGCGGCACTAGCGACTGGGTGGGGTCACAGAAAACAGGGGGTCTCAAAAACATTGATTAATGAAAAGAACACCAGCGGGGTTAAAGGGATACGGGATAGGCTGAAAGCAATCTTGTAAAGGAGACCAGAATTCACAAAAGTTGGATGGTCGGGGGAAGATACCCGTGGAAGAGCAAGAGGCAGAGAAAACAATACTCCGGCTAAAACAAAAGTCAAAATGAGATCGAGAAAAATAAGGTTAAATTTAAAAGATTTAGGGAAGAAATAATAATAATAATAATAATAATAATAATAATAATAATAATAATAATGATGATGATGATGATGATGATGATGATGATGATGTTTTGGCCGGTGCATAGAGAAATCTACGCATGATGTGATTCTTCTTCTTCTTCTTCTTCTTCTTATTATTATTATTATTATTATTATTATTATTTCCTTTGATTTCTGTTGCATATTCATTTGCTTCCGACTTCCAATAGAGGCCTAAGGTCAGAAATGGCATCATGACATTTTCCACTGAACATTTTTCTAAAAATAAAAAAAAATAATAAAAAGAAATAATTATAATATAATAATAATAATAATAATAATAATAATAATAATAATAATAATAATAATAATAGCTTGAAATAGAAATCTCGAAAATGTGGCATATGGGAACATCAACAATCCCTGTTGTAGTTGGAGCCCTAGGACTGGTTGGAAAAGATTGCAGTAGACTAATTGAAGGGATTCCTGGAAGTCCATGCCTCAAGGAGATACAAAACCTTTGTTCTGACAAATACAGCCTACACTTTACGAAGGGCTTTATCTATGTTTTTTTTTTTTTTTTTGGTCAGTGGAAAGTGTCATGATGCCATTTCTAACTTTAGGTCCCCAAAGGACCCGGAAAAGAAAATGTAAACGCCAGAAATCAAAGAAAATAAAAATAATAATAATATGATCATGATGATGATCATGATAATTTGCTTTGTGCAAATTGCTCGCAAGTACCAAATCAAAGACTTCAAAAGACAATTTTTTTATCAGGAGATACAGAAATATGAGTACCATGCAGAGAAAAAGAAAGAGAGAAAGAAAGAGAAAGAGAAAGAGAGAGAGAAAGAAAAAGAGACAAAGAGAGAGAGAGCTATGGATTTATGGTTACTGCACTGCAGGAGAGAAATCTTCGAATGACGTGAGAATTATTATTATATTCGTGTATTTTTTTTTTATTTTTTAAAGCAAGAAAATTTGATTGTCAGGTGAGCCATCGCTTTATTTTTTTTATTACCTAAATTTCAAACCCACTCTAGAGGAGTATCGGTTAGTCATTTACTAGTGTTTTGTCGACAGTAACAACCTGAGTCTATTTGGGCCACTAGAGAGAAAATAAAAGAAAAAAATACAATGTTACTGTGGCCAATGAATGGAGAGAAATTATGTGAGAATTCTTCTTCTTCTTCTTCTTCTTCTTATTATTATTATTATTATTATACCTTATTATGATTATTATTTGATTTGATTTCTGTTGTATAGACATTTACTATATGAGTTTCAATAGAGATGAAAGTGGCATCATGGCATTTTCCACTGTACATTTTTCTAAAAACATATAGTAATAATAATAATAATAATAATAATAATTCAAAAAACTGTCAAAATACAAGGACCTTGAAATAGAAATCTCGAAAATGTGGCATATGGTAACATCAACAATCCATGTTGTAGTTGGAGCCCTGGGACTGGTTGGAAAAGACTGCAGTAGACTACTTGAAGGGATTCCTGGAAGTCTATGCCTCAAGGAGATACAAAACATTGTTCTGACAAGTTCAGCCCACACTTTATGAAGGGCTTTATCTATGTATTTTTTTGTGTGTGTGTCAGTGGAAAGTGTCATGATGCCATTTCTAACCTTAGGTCCCGGAAAGAAATGTGTAAACGCCAGAAATCAAAGATAATAATAATAATAATAATAATAATAATAATAATAATAATAATAAGAAGAAGAAGAAGAAGAAGAAGAAAAAGAAGAAGAAGAAGAAGAAGAAAAAGAAGAAGAAGAAGAAGAAGAATGGCAATTCTTGCAGGCTGTAATATAGCATTGATTATATGAAAAAATACTATCAAATTACATGTGGAAATTTTAAGAATGTGGCACATGAAAACATCAATAATTCATTTGTATTTAGGGCCCTGGGCTTGATGAGGGAAAGTTTCAGATAGATTGATTGAAGACTAGTTGCGTAATGGCATATACACTGAATTCTTCATAAAGATTCAGAAGGTGAAATTAGTAAAATATTAAACACTTCAAATATCTCGGTGTATGAATCAGTTAATAAAGAAGTTAATACAGGAGGAGAGGTAAAAGACAATAGAATAAAAGCTACGTGAGAGACACAACACAAATTGCCAGAAAACCTAAACATTAACCTGAAAATTCGAGACGTTTTCTTAAATAGCCTCGTCGGATATAAATCAGTAGAATGGCGCATCTCAAGACAACAACATAACCTGTTGTTATTGGGGTCTTGGGAATTATATTCATAGGATCAAACAAATATGTGCGACAAATTACTGGTAACCCTAAGATATATAAATTGAAATAATTTCATACTCATGGGTGCTTCTCACATGTTGCGTAGAGTTCTCTCTATGGAGTCACCATCTAAAGACATTATTTGTTTTCCCTATGGTTACATGGAACCTCACTTGTTTGCATCTTCTGATACAAAAATTGTCTCTTGAAGTCTCCGTTGAGACACACAGGCAAATCGTATTGCCTAAAGCAAAGATAAATAATAATAATAATAATAATAATAATAATAATAATAATAATAATAATAATATTTCAGGTTGCAAAATTTTAGCAACCACTGAATATAAAACTCGGCATGATAGAGCGAGCCATTATATGCACTGGAAAATATGCAACTTTTACGGAAAGGAGACTGCAACAAATTGGTATGGATATTAACCAGACTTGGTTACAGAGATAAGACCTGTAACAATTTTATGGGATTTTACAATACACAGAGGCAGAACAATCAAAGCTAATCGCCCAGACATCGTGATCAAAGACCACAAAAACAGAATGTTTCTTCTTATGGACATGTTAGTCCCTGCGGATTGTAATGTATCTTTGAAGAACTTCAAAAAACTATCAAAATACAAGGATCTTGAAGTGGAAACCTAAAAAATGAGGACATTAATAATACCAGTTGTAGTTGGATTCCTCGAATTGATTCCAAAACTGTTCTGAGAGAGACATTGAACGGATTCTTTGTAGCCCATGCCTTAAGGAAATGCAACAAATTGTAATCACAAGTACAGCTCACACATTACGAACCGTTTTATCTATGTAAAATGCGCATGGTCTTAGGGGTTTGTTATTTTACAAAAAATGAACAGTTGGAAATGTCATGGAGTGATTTCTGACCTTCTTTCTCTCTTTGGGACGCAGAAGAAAATGTATATACAACAGAAATCAAAAGAAAAAAAAATAATAATAATAATAATAATAATACTAATAATAATAATAATAATAATAATAATAAGAAGAAGAAGAAGAAGAAGAAGAAGAAGAAGAAGTTCTGAAAAGTACAGCCCACACTTTACGAAGGGCTTTATCTATGAATTTTTTATTTTATTTTCATGATGCCATTTCTAACCTTAGGTCCATGAGCGGGACCCGGACAGACATCTGTAAACGCCATAAATCTAAGAAATTAATAATAATAATAATAATAATAATAATAATAATAATAATAGGGCAATACTTGTAGTGGAAATCTGCAAACACTTTGTAAAGATGTTAATAAACACTGGTATGAACATCACCCAGCACCGGTTACAGAAATAGAAGACACCCAATTATATGGGATTACGCCATCTTTACAAACAGGAAGATTGAAGCAAATAGGATGGACATAATTGTCAAAAACCGAAAAGAAAAAATATTGCCTACTAATTGATATGGCTTGACCAGCGGAATGTAACATGGCCAAGGAATATATCAAAATATAAATACCTGGAAATTGAAGACAAGAATAGTACCAGTCATAGTAGGTGCGCGTAAAAAAGGAACACAACACCACATTGAAAAAATCCCTGGAAAACCTAGCTTACGAGAAATACAAAAAGTTTTGATGAGTACAGCCCACAGACTAAGAACTTTTTTCATGTAACGCTATTGATGTTATGGGAGTTAGAAAAAACACATCATGAAATGTACACAGAACAACACACCACTACATGCCATAGGTTTTCCCGTAGACATGGCCGGTAGTGTGACCATAGCAAAAATCGAAATATAATAATAATAATAATAATAATAATAATAATAAGAAGAAGAAGAAGAAGAAGAAGAAGAAGAAGGAGAAGAAGAAGAAGAAGAAGAAGAAGAAGAAGAAGAAGAAGAATGTGTCATATGGGAACATCAACAATCCCCGTTGTAGTTGGAGCCCTCGGATTGGTTGGAAAAGATTCCAATAGACTAATTGAAGGGATTCCTGGAAGCCCATGCCTTAAAGGAATACACAAAATTGTTCTCACGAGTACAGCCCACAGGTTAAGAAGGTCTTTGTCGATGTAAAAAAAAAATTCCAGTGTCATTATGCCATTTCTAACCTTAGGTCCCTGGGCGGACCCGGAAAGAAATGTGTACACATCCGAAATCAAAGGAAATAAAATAATGATAATAGCAATATGGTGATACTTTTTGATAAAAGCCGTGCATAAGATGACAGATTATAAAACAGTCTCGCTGCCATATGCGTAGGTTGCCTAGGTTTCAGGTATGAGATAAAATTGTATTAAACAGAAAATCGGGGATATTTAAATGCATAATAATAATAATAATAATAATAATAATAATAAAAATAACAACAATAACAACTAGCATAATCCCTGTAACGTTCAATTTTTTAACCTCTCCGATACCGGAAAAGGCCGAGACGTCGATAAAAGCGGCATTTTTCAAACGCACAATATTGAACGACGGAAAGCGAGTAAGCAATCGCTAAATATCCTATTACCATGCGTTAAATAATATAACATCATCTGCTGAATTATTTTAAAATTATTATTAAGAGAAAAGTTCGTAAAACGAAGATCGGGCAAGAAATAAATACACAAAGTAAAAGGTTTAACGTCTCCTGAGAATACCTCATAAATAATGAACTATTCCGTTTTGATTGCGTGGAAAGAGGGGAAAAGATATATCAGAGACGCTACTTGGTTTCAGTGAGAAAATGAAAGAAAGAAAAAAAAAGAGAAAATGAAAAATTACATTGATTTACTAATGCATTTTTAAGGCTGGCCTCAGTACTTTTCAATTCATTGTCATTTCCAGGTAAATATAAGAAAAATGACATAGCCTCTCATAAAAATACTAAAATGCCGGCTGCAGGTCGTCAGGTCACGAAACAACATTAATCCTTCACTCCAAACAACTACCTTTATTTAAAATGATTCTGCTCCAATCCTCTCGGTGTTGCACTCTTTTTTTCGTATCTGCACGCCCCCCATTTGTCTCTCTCTTTCCGTTTTACTCTCAGCCTCCATCTCTTGTTCTGTTTCCCTTTCAGACGCTCAATATAGTCTGGTTTCCCTGAGTCTGTAACAATTTCACAAAATTAAGATTAAAAAACAAAAGATTTTTTATTTCAAAAGTTCTCTCGCAGTTTAGGGGCGAATTTGTCCTCAACATAATGTTAGGTCAAAAAACATAATTTAGCCCCCTCACTACAAACAACTGCTTTTATCTAAAATGACCCCCTCCACCCCCCCTTTTTGTGTCGCACTTGCCTTTTTTGTCTCCTAACGTCCCTCGCTCTCTTTCTGGCTATAATCTTTAGATCCCTGTCTCTTTGTTTCCCTTTCGAACGTTCATTGCAGTTCAAGGGCTAAAGTTCACCCCCCCCCGCCAGATCGTTAGGTAGCGAAATAGGTTTTAACTCCTCACTACAAACTACTGCTTTTATCTAAGTTGACCCTTATCAATACCTCTATGTATCGAACTCCCTGTTTTGTCTCTATGTCTTCATCCTCTCTCTCTCTCTCTCTCTCTCTCTCTCTCTCTCTCTCTCTCTCTCTTCCACTTTCTATGTCTCGCTCTCTTTCTCTTCCTTTCCCAGACATTCAACAACCCCTGGGTGTAATGAGATTTCTGATTAAACGAACAGCATTTATTTTTTATTATATAACAAAATGATTCTCATGATTAAAGAAAGATTTTAATTTCAAAAGGTCACTTGTAGTTCAGGGGTGAATTTGTTTTCCGATGATCGTTAAATCACGGAACGTGATTTATTCCCTCCATACAAACACCTACCTTTATCTAAGATGACCCCCACCTCCTCCAATCCCTCTTTGTGTTACTCTCTCTTTTTGTCCCTATACGCCCTTTCTCTTACGCTTTCTGTTTACTCTCTATGTTCCTCCACCTTTCTGTCTCTCTCTCAATATCTGAGATACCAAGCGTAACACACACCTTACATGGTACAAAAGTATTGAAATAAAGACAATAATAATAATAATAATAAGAAGAAGAAGAAGAAGAAGATGATGATGATGATGATGATTATGATGATGAAACAGACGACCATGTCAAAAAGAAAACGAAGGAAATCGTAAGACGGCAAAAATAATAATAATAATAACATAAAATGAAGAAGAAGAAGAAGATGAAGAAGAATACGGAAGCTAAAGAAGAAGAAGAAGATGAAGAAGAAGATGAAGAAGATGAAATGAAGAAGAAGAAGACTTTGAAGTGAAAAGAAATGAAGAGAAGAAGAAATGAAGAAGATGAAAATGAAGAAGAAGATTTGAAGAAGAAAAGAAAGATGAAGATAGATGAAGATGAAAGAAGAAGAAGAAGATGAAGATGAAGAAGATGAGAGAAGAAGATGAAAAAAAGAAGAAGATGAAGAAGATGAAGAAGAAGATGAAGAAGAAGAAGAAGAAGATGAAGAAGAAGATGAAGAAGATGAAGAAGAAGATGAAGATGAAGAAGAAGAAGAAGAAGAAGAAGATGAAGATGAAGAAGAAAAGAAGAAGATGAAGAAGAAGATGAAGAAGAAGAAGAAGAAGATGAAGAAGAAGAAGAAGATGAAGAAGAAGAAGATGAAGAAGAAGAAGAAGAAGATGAAGATGAAGAAGAAGAAGATGAAGAAGATGAAGATGAAGAAGATGAAGAAGAAGAAGAAGAAGATGAAGATGAAGAAGATGAAGAAGATGAAGAAGAAGAAGAAGATGAAGAAGATGAAGAAGATGAAAAGATGAAGAAGATGAAAAGAAAAGAAGATGAAGAAGATGAAGAAGAAGAAGATGAAGAAGAACAAGATGAAGAAGAAGAAGAAGATGAAGATGAAGATGAAGAAGAAGATGAAGATGAAGAAGAAGAAGAAGATGAAGAAGAAGAAGAAGAAGAAGATGAAGAAGAAGAAGAAGAAGATGAAGAAGAAGATGAAGAAGAAGAAGAAGAAGAAGAAGAAGATGAAGAAGATGAAGAAGAAGAAGAAGAAGAAGAAGATGAAGATGAAGATGATGAAGAAGAAGAAGAAGATGAAGAAGAAGAAGAAGATGAAGAAGAAGATGAAGAAGATGAAGAAAATGAAGATGAAGAAGAAAATGAAGAAGAAAAGAAGATGAAGAAAGAAGAAGAAGAAGAAAAAGAAGAAGATGAAGAAGAAAAGATAATAATGATGATGATTATGATGAAGAAGAAGAATGAAGATGAAGAAGAAGAAATCGAAGATGAAGAAGAAGAAAAAGAAGAAGAAGAAGATGAAGAAGAAGAAGAAGAAGAAGAAGAAGATGAAGAAGATGAAAGAAGAAGAAGATGAAAGAAGAAGATGAAGATGAAGAAGAAGAACAAGAAGAAGATGAAGAAGATGAAGATGAAGAAGAAGAAGAAGATGAAGAAGAAGAAGAAGAACAAGAACAAGAAGAAGATGAAGAAGATGAAGAAGAAGAAGAAGAAGAAGAAGAAGATGAAAGAAGAAGAAGAAGAAGAAGAAGATGAAGAAGAGAGAAGAAGAAGATGAAAAGATGAAGAAGAAGAAGATGAAGAAGAAGATGAAGAAGAAGAAGAAGAAGATGAAGAAGAAGAAGAAGAAGAAGATGAAGATGAAGAAGAAGAAGATGAAAAGATGAAGAAGAAGAAGAAGAAGAAGATGAAGAAGAGAAGATGAAGAAGATGAAGAAAAGAAGAAGAATGAAAAGAAGAAGAAGAAGATGAAGAAGAAGATGAAGAAGAAGAAGAAGAAGAAGAAGATGAAAGAAGAAGAAGATGAAAGATGAAGAAGATGAAGAAGAAGAAGAAGAAGAAAGAAGAAGATGAAGATGAAGAAGATGAAGAAGATGAAATGAGAGAAGAAAATGAAGAAGAAGAAGAAATGAAGAAGATGAAGAAGAAGAAAGAAGAAGATGAGAAGATGAAGAGAATGAAGATGAAGATGAAGAAGATGAAGAAGAAGAAGAAGAAGAAGAAGATGAAGAAGAAGAAGATGAAGAAGAAGAAGAAGAAGAAGAAGAAGAAGAAGATGAAGATGAAGAAGAAGAAGATGAAGAAAAGAAGATGAAGAAGAAGAAGATGAAGAAGAAATGAAGAAGAAGATGAAGAAGAAGATGAAGATGAAGAAGATGAAGAAGAAGAAGATGAAAGATGAAAGAAGATGAAGATGAAGATGAAGAAGAAGATGAAGAAGATGAAGAAGATGAAGATGAAGAAGAAGAAGATGAAGAAGAAGAAGAAGAAGAAGAAGAAGATGAAGATGAAGAAGAAGAAGAAGATGAAGAATGAAGAAGATGAAGATGAAGAAGAAGAAGATGAAGAAAATGAAGAAGAAGAAGAAGAAGAAGAAGAAGAAGAGAAAATGAAGAAGAAGAAGAAGAAGATGAAGATGAAGATGAAGAAGAAGAAGATGAAGAAGAAAAAAGAAGATGAAGATGAAGAAGAAGAAGATGAAAGAAGAAGAAGATGAAGAAGAAGAAAAGAAGAAAGAAGAAGAAGAAGATGAAGAAGAAGAAGAAGATGAATGAATGAAGAAGAAAGAAGAAGAAGAAGAAGATGAAGAAGAAGAAGATGAAGAAGATGAAGAAGAAGAAGAAGAAGATGATGAAGAAGAAGAAGAAGAAGATGATGAAGAAGAAGATGAAGATGAAGAAGAAGAAGAAGATCAATGACTGAGTAATCTCATGCCAAGTTTTACGACAAAAAATCCCCCTTAGAAATTCCCCTATCGCATCTCTAAATAGTTGAGCTTAACAAGTTTAACAAAATATTGTAATAACAATCATAAATATGACTGCTAGTCGTTATTTTAAGAAGTCAAGGGATACAAATGAAAATATTTGAAATAGATAATATTATATTTCATTGAAACAGGCGTTAACAAATCTCTCTTTCTTTATTTATTATTGTTTCATTTTCTCATTGAAATCAAGTAGCATCTCTGATATGCCTTTGTTATGCGTGTTCATTGGCGCATATACTTTTTGTATTATTAAGGATTCAAGAAAACAACAAAACTCCAAATGTGAATAAACAAATATATATTGAAATTACATACAAGAACAAAATATACAATAATTTGTATTCAATATATAGATTAAGGGAAAAGAAGTTGCTCCCCTTTAACTGTATTTTGATTTGTAATTGATTGTTCGAAAGAGAGAGAAATGTTCAGGAATCAATGTTAGAACAAGTCTGCTGTTAGAATAGATAGCACAAGAATACAATTGATCAGAAAGTGTGTTGTGTTAGAGAAATCAACAGAGTCCTGGTTGATTGAACTTGGCTGAGTCACAGAGAGATATGTATATGTGTATTACAAAAATCTGTGTCTGTGTGTGCGTTTGAAATGTTATTGAAAATTGAAGTCATAGGTTTGTGTTGACAGGCGAAAATTTGCTGGACTCTAACGGCGGTCTGTGAAAAAGTCGCCTCTTTTAAAGCTACAGGTAGGCTCCCAGCGAAACCGCGGGAAAAGTTGATTTTGCACTAAAATCTGTGGTTGGTTAAAAATTGACCAATCGCTAAATTTGTACTAACGAAACAAGTAAGCAAGTTCAAAACCGAAAAATTCAAAGCAACCACTACGATGGCTAAATTGTCCTATAGAAAGGCAGTATTGATTTATTAGCCAATCGCAGACGAATAAAATGTGGACGTGGAAAAACATAGCAGTCGCTACACCTTTTTCTCTCTGATGTGAACATTCAAATAAATAATAATAATAATAATAATAATAACTAGAAATACTCGTCGTCTTATTTTAATTTTCTGATAAATCTTAATTATTCAGTTAATGATTGAATTAGCGCATAACGAGTTCTACGACAATAAAATATCCTATAGCATCGTTAAGTATTTGAGCTTAAAAACTTTGGCAAAATATTGCAATAACAATCGTAAACATAAATGCTGATTGATTTCAACACGTTTCAGTAGTTTACACAAAGTTATACTAAAAAACTTTGGCTTTTACAAATTTCTGAAAACTTTGAATATTACATTAAAATTGAAGCTATTTATGCCAATTTCGATTGGTGCTTGAAAACATTAGAAACTCCCTAAAATTATTGTATATCTCTTTGGTTTCTATCGAGAAATATTGATTTTAACAAGTTTCGAAAGCTTACACAAAGTTATATTTAAAAAAAATAATAACAACTAGAAAAACCCGTGAAAATTTCACGGTTTCCTATTGAAATTATTTGGTAAATGTTAATTCTTAATTCTTCAGTTAATTACTGAGTAACCTCATTGTGAGTTATACGACAATAAAATATCAATACTATCGCATCGTTAAATATTTAAGCTTAACAACTTTAAAAAACTATTGAAATAACAATCATAAATATAACTGCTGGGCGTTAGTTTAAGAAGCGAATAGAAATGAAAAGATTTAAAATTGACAACCTTTTCAGTTTCACTGAAACAATTGTTAAACACTTCTGTCTTCTTTGCTTTCTTTCATTTTCTTTCTTTCTTCTCTGCTTTCTTTCTTTATTTCATTTTCTTTCTTTCTGTCATTTTGTTTATTTAATATTCTTCTTTCATTTTCTTTTTTCTTTCTTTCTTCACTTTCTTTTACTTTCTTTCTTTTTTCTTTCTTTCTTCACTTTCTTTCATTTTCTTTCTTTCTTCACATTCTTTCATTTTCTTTCTTTTTCTTTCTCTTTTTCTTTCGTTTTCTTTCTTTCATTTTCTTTCTTTCTTCTCTGCTTTCTTTCTTTATTTCATTTTCTTTCTTTCAGTCATTTTCTTTATTTAATATTTTTTCTTTCATTTTCTTTCTTTCTTTCTTTCATTTTCTTTCTTTCTTTCTTCGCATTTTTTCATTTTCTTTCTTTCTTTCTTCACTTTCTTTCATTTTCTTTCTTTCTTTCTTCACTTTCTTTCATTTTCTTTCTTTCTTTCTTCACTTTCTTTCATTTTCTTTCTGTCTTTCTTCACATTCTTTCATTTTCTTTCTTTCTTTTTCTTTCTCTTTTTCTTTCGTTTTCTTTCTTTCATTTTCTTTTTTCTTTCTTTCTTCGCATTTTTTCATTTTCTTTCTTTCTTTCTTCACTTTCTTTCATTTTCTTTCTTTCTTTCTTCACTTTCTTTCATTTTCTTTCTGTCTTTCTTCACATTCTTTCATTTTCTTTCTTTTTCTTTCTCTTTTTCTTTCGTTTTCTTTCTTTCATTTTCTTTCTTTCTTCTCTGCTTTCTTTCTTTATTTCATTTTCTTTCTTTCTGTCATTTTCTTTATTTAATATTTTTTCTTTCATTTTCTTTCTTTCTTTCTTTCATTTTCTTTCTTTTTTTCTTTCTTTCTTCGCATTTTTTCATTTTCTTTCTTTCTTTCTTCACTTTCTTTCATTTTCTTTCTTTCTTTCTTCACTTTCTTTCATTTTCTTTCTTTCTTTCTTCATTCTTTCATTTTTTCTTTTCTTTTTCTTTCTTTTTTTTTTTTTTCTTTTTTCATTTTCTTTTCTTTCTTCTCTGCTTTCTTTCTTTATTTCATTTTTCTTTCTTTCTGTCATTTTTCTTTATTTAATATTTTTCTTTCATTTTCTTTCTTTCTTTCTTTCATTTTCTTTCTTTTTTTCTTTCTTTCTTCGCATTTTTTCATTTTCTTTCTTTCTTTCTTCACTTTCTTTCATTTTCTTTCTTTCTTTCTTCACATTCTTTCATTTTCTTTCTTTTTCTTTCTCTTTTTCTTTCGTTTTCTTTCTTTTTTTTTCTTTCTTTTTCTTTCTTTCTTTTCTTTTCTTTCTTTATTTCATTTTTTTCTTTCTTTTTCTTTCATTTTTTTCTTTATTTCTTTATTTTTCTTTTCTTTTTTTTTTTCTTTCTTTTCTTTTTTTCATTTTCTTTTTTTTCTTTCTTTATTTTCAGGAGTTTTCTTCGCATTTTTTCATTTTCTTTCATTTTCTTTCTTTCATTTTTCTTTTTTTTTCTTTTTCTTTCTTTGTTTTCTTTTTTTTCATTTTCTTTCTCTTCTTTCTTTCTTTCTTTCTTTCTTTCATTTTCTTTCTTTCTTTTTTTCTTTCTTTTTTTCGTTTTCTTTCTTTCATTTTCTTTCTTTCTTTCTTTCTTTCTTTCTTTTTTTCATTTTTTTCTTTCTGTCATTTTTTTTATTTAATATTTTTCTTTCATTTTCTTTCTTTCTTTCTTTCTTTTTTTCATTTTCTTTTTTTTTCATTCTTTCTTAATATTTTTCATTTTTTCATTTTTTTCTTTCTTTCATTTCTTTTTTCTTTCATTTTCATTTTCTTTCTTTCTTTCTTTCTTTCTTTTATTTTTCTTTCTGTCTTTCTTTCACATTCTCATTTTTTTTTTTTTTCTTTTTTCTTTTCTTTTTCTTTCGTTTTTTTTCTTTCATTTTCTTTCTTTTTTCTTTCTTTCTTTCTTTTCATTTTCTTTCTTTCTGTCATTTTTTCTTTATTTAATATTTTTCTTTCATTTTCTTTCTTTCTTTCTTTTCATTTTCTTTCTTTTTTCTTTTCTTTCTTCGCATTTTTTTTTCATTTTTTTCTTTCATTTCTTCTTACTTTCTTTCATTTTCTTTCTTTCTTTCTTCACATTCTTTTCATTTTTTCTTTTTTTCTTTCTCTTTTTTCTTTTGTTTTCTTTCTTTTTCTTTCTTTCTTTCTTCTCTGCTTTTCTTTCTTTATTTCATTTCTTTCTTTCTGTCATTTTCTTTATTTAATATTTTTTCTTTCATTTTCTTTCTTTCTTTCTTTCATTTTCTTTCTTTCTTTCTTTCTTCGCATTTTTTCATTTTCTTTCTTTCTTTCTTCACTTTCTTTCATTTTCTTTCTTTCTTTCTTCACTTTCTTTCATTTTCTTTCTGTCTTTCTTCACATTCTTTCATTTTCTTTCTTTCTTTTTCTTTCTCTCTTTCTTTCATTTTATTTCTTTCGTTTTCTTTCTTTCTTTATTCATTTATTTCATTTTCTTTCTTTCATTTTCTTTCACCCTTTCTTTCATTTTCTTTTCTTTCATTTTCTTTCTGTCTTTCTTTCTGTCTCTTTCTTTCATTTTCTTTCTTTCTTTCATTATCTTTCTTGCTTCACTTTCTCTCATTTTCTTTCTTTCTTTTTCTTTCTCTCTTTCTATCATTTTATTTATTTCATTTTCTTTCTTTCTTTATTTATTTATTTCATTTTATTTCTTTCTTTCATTTTCTTTCACCCTTTCTTTCTTTCTTTCATTTTCTTTCATTTTCTCACTGAAACCAAATAGCGTCTATGCTATATCTCTTTTCCTTTTTCCGCGCAGTCAAAACGGAATAGTCCATTATTTATGAGGTATTCGCAGGAGAGGTTAAAAACTTTTCCCTTGTGTATTTATTTGTAGCCCAATCTTCGTTTTACGAACATTTCTCTTAATAATAATTTTAAAATAATTCAGCAGATGACGTTATATTATTTAACGTATGGCAATAGGATATTTACCGATTGCTTACTCTCTTTCCGTCCCTTCAATACTGTGCGTCTGAAAAATGCCGCTTTTATTGATGTTGCCATGGCGCATCGGTCTTTTCCAGGTTCGAGGACGTTACAAAATTTGAAGCCCAAGCCTCAGGAGGCATTCCTCCCAAGCAGTTCCTTTCCTTGGGGAGCATGCTGGGTTTATTTTTAGCTTACTGATGGGTGCGGCCTTGTCTTCATAGGCTTTTTTTGGCAAGGGCAGACAGAGTATTGGCCATAAAGCGGTTTATCTTGCCATTTTTCAGTATCGGGTCGGTTGCATTTACTTTTGCTTTCTCTTTTAAGTATTTTTTTAAAGCATCCGTAGGTGTATTTACTTGTATTTCTGCAACATTTGAAACTCCATTTTGAACTTGTTTTATTATTATTATTATTATTATTATTATTATTATTATTATTATTATTTCCTTTGATTTCAATTTTATACACGTTTCTTTCTGGAGACCAGACACCTAAAGTCAGAAATGGCATCATAAAATTTTGCACTTAGCAGTTTTGTAAAAAAAAATATTTAAAAAATGCCTCAGGTCGTACATAATTTACATAGATAAATTTCTTCGTAATGTATGAGTTGGACTTCTACAATTTTTTGCATTTATTTTTTATATTATTATTATTAGATCAGTACGTTTGACGCTAGACTCCTGCAGAACAACACACTGTGTCTTCTTAGTCTCTCGTCTTTTACTGAGTTGAATTGAAGCGAATACATCGAATCAATAGCTGCATATACTGCAAGGAAAGTTGCTCACTGAGTCGTGCCCGAAAATCTTTCTCGACAGAATTCATCTGTCACATTTACAAATCTACCATTGAGTCGTACACTGAATACTGCTGCCATATCTGGTCTGTTGTTCATACCATTGATAAGATCCAAAAAAGTATTTGCAAGGTTATAGATCCTGACCTGGCATCAAGACTTCAGTCACCGTTTCATTGACATGGCGCGATTCCCTCTGTCTTTTTTTACAATTATTTCCTGACGTGTTTTTTTTTTCACTGGGGCGGAGACATTTTTTTTAAGCAAATCTCCCCAAGCAAGGCGGGAGTGCCACAAGCGCGCAAGGGGTTACAGAGAGTGAGAGTAAGAGTAAAGAGGAGTGTTTGGGGAAAAGGATAAAGAGAAGGACAGGGGTCAAGGTCAAGGCACTAGAAAATGTCGATTGACATTACATTTGAATATTTGGAGATTTATAGCTATCAGGGAAGAAAGTGGTAGGAAGAAAGTTACGCTGACGGAAGGTGCGAGATAAGAAGCTCTTGGAGTAGAATTAATGGCTACATTTAGCCGTTTCGACAGTGAAAGGGTGAGACAGTGATGTCAACCTGGTAGCACGCTTACATTCACGGTGTTTGGGAACCAGGGAAAGTAGCTCGTCGTAGCAGTTGACATGAAAGTACTTGTAGAAAAGACAGAGGCAAGCCACACAAAGTCTGTGAGATATCGACTGCAGACAGGATGACAGATCATGACCAAAAACGTGTTAGACATTTTCATGACGGTCGTCCTCGAGTATAGAATCCAGACGTTGGCAGTGAATATTTCGGAGACAGTAGGAAAGCGTAGTTTAGGTTCGCAGTGGATATCACAGCAGAGTGTAGTTCATCCTTCTCCTGGTCGCCATTGGTCCTTCCGGTAGAGGAAACAAGATGGCCGCCTTTATACACAACGAATACAGTGTTGTGCGGCTTCTGATTGGTCAACCTTCTATTGGTCGACTATAAAGGGAAATAAGTCATTCTGACTCGCTCACTAGTTACATATAGTATATACCCAAAAAACCGTAACAAAACGTTGCATATCCGTCTCTAGATTTTGTCGAAGACATCGAGAAAAACAGCGGGAGACTACATGAATTTAAGATTTAATTCTAGATTGGCAACTAAATCGCATCTGTTTATTATTGAAATAGCTAAAAGAAAACAACAGTTTTATCCCAAGAGTTTCTTTCCATGCATTTCCCATCTGTGGAACTCTGTCCTGTTTACTTGCTTCCCTGATTAACTACAATCTTCAAAAATTTAAAGCAACGTCAATCGCCATTTTCTGTCTTCTTGACCCCGGTTCATTTTTTGTCCTTTCGCTTTCAGTTCACGGTAACCCCCTACGTACTAGTAGCATTCCGCTTCATCTCTTGTCCTTTTCTCAATCCTCCCTATTCTCAGTCTTCTCTTTCGCGTTCAGTTCGCTGAAACCCCCTACGTACTAGTGGCATTACGGTTCATCTTTTGTCCTTTTCTCAATCCTACCTATTCTCAGTCTTCTCTTTCGCGTTCAGTTCGCTGAAACCTCCTGCGTACTAGTGGCATTACGGTTCATCTTTTGTCCTTTTCTCAATCCTACCTATTCTCAGTCTTCTCTTTCGCTTTCAGTTCGCTGTAACCCCCTGCATGCTAATAGCACTCCTGCCTTGCTTGGGGTGAAGTGATTTAAATGTCGATGTTATTATGGTGATAAATTTCTTGTCCCATATTTTCATGTTTTAGATGAGGTAACTTTCTTTTTTTAATCTTCATTTAATCTACTTCTTCTCGTCAACTGGTACAACCCTATCTAGATACTAGCAGGTCCTCTTTTCATTGTTTGCTTATTTCACACGCGGACATTTCGATTGGATGGTTCAATCTGTCTCCATGTCAGAATCCTACGGTATTGTATTTCTATTAATTTTAGGTCAGTCTCTGATAAATACTCTTAACCCTGCCGCTTCTGTTGTTCCAAGTATATGAGTATCCTTACCCTATCCACAATATCTTTTCGCTAAGATTGATGCTTAATATCAACATGTATCATATTACTCTGTTATTTAGAACCGGAGAGCCGAGTTCAAATTCCATTCTTGACTGGTGTATTCATTTTCGTTCTATTGTCCCTGGAAAAGGCATGAATCCGTCGCTTTTATCCTGCCCTGTTAAGGGGTAAATAGCAATGTACAACCTTGTGCAAATTAATTGAAAAAAAAGAAGATTAATTCCGTTATTACTTCCTTTTTTTCATGACCCAGTGCACATGTTAGGGCTTCATATGTCCATCCCACGAAGTCGTTCCTTACAGATTTTCGACTGGATTTAATGAGGGGAGATTCCGAGCCAGTCTATAGTACTTTGATTTCCTCACTGGTAAGGCTTGCCAGTATGCTACTGCAACGTTACAATTTTCGTACGCCTCCTTGGAGTAACCTTCATCGCAGACAATGGCTGTAGGACAACTAGTCGACAGTAGAGACAATAGTGACAGGGCGTGAAAAAACCTGATGCAATCGTGGATGATGCAATATTACTCCAAACAAATCTATTATACACCCCTAAAAGAGATTCATATTATTGCACACCACTGTAAATGACCTAATCTGAGGTAAAAATAGAAATTGATTATACCCAATCACTCCAGTGGGTCTAAAACTGACCGTGTGGTGAAAGAAAGAAAACTAAAGCGGTTGTTTCAATTAATTTGCACACGGGTGTAGTTGCTATCTAAGTGAAGGAAAACTTTGACTGCTGTGAATGCAAAGGAAAATCACTCCGCTATTTTTCCCAAGACGTCATATCAGTTCCCAGATGATGAAGAAAGGGAAGCTGGGACGAGCTATTATCGCATTGAATTAAAATGAATGCAAGAGGATTTTTTTTACAATGAGTCACACAGTATAAGGCCCGTGGCTCACTCGAGATAGAGGGTTGCAGAATAAAAGGTACAGTTTATGCGGATAGAAGAGAAAGATAATGCTTAACCCTAGATTTGAACATGTCAAGATTGTTGTGATCGGGGAAACATCCTCTTCAGAGTCGTTTCCACAGAGCAGTGGTTCGTGGTAAGAGTCTGTTCGAGGGGAACACTAGTGAAATACAGAGGGTATGAGGGTGATTTGCATCGGTGTAAGTGGCATAGCGGGTCCTAGCAAGGTTAGAGCTGGCCGAAGCAGGAATGCAGTTCTTCCGAACAATTTCCATGGAAGTAGCGAAAGACTTGTCACATCCCGTGTGTGAGAAATGTGTTACAGCGTGGAAAATAATTCCACAAAGTCGCGAAGACGCTTTTAGCCTCCATCGAAACAGAGGTTTTTGTGTTACTTTAAACTCAATATAAATTAAAAACTTTTAAAGACATTATTTTTTTTTTCAGTCATCTAAAAATTTGAATTTTTAACTGTCCCCTTGTCATCCGTACACAAATACCAGCGCTGGATATTCACGCACCATGTCAGGACGTATTTTCAATCCCGGGATCACTCTGATTTCTAAAAGGTATATGTCGATGGAGACCGAGTGTAGCCCGAGTTAGAGGATTTTCACACACACGTACGGATGGACAGAATTTTCCGTTTTCTTATTTAGATTGTATCTGAAATTTACCGCAAGACGCTACGAGTTTTTGCTCCAACCGAATGTAAGATAAATTAATATGTAACAACATAGGCGCCTCGACGTGGTGTAATGGTTAACAATTGTTTGTATGCTTGGGTCAGTGCTTGTTGCTCGATTACTTTAAAATTAAGACAGATGAGACCGTCCTTTTCCCCGTCCACTTTTTAGGCCTTGTGCCACATTTTCTGTAATTTTACAGAAATAAATATTGTAATGGTTAGCAAGAATGTCTCGATCAATTACGACTGAATAGCGAGTTCGATCCTTACTGGGTGCTCCATGGTTTGTGCCACAAGTTAGCTATACTTATTAAATTGATGCAATATTTAGCCAGATATTCATTTCTGAAGTATTGTTATTTGCTGTTCATTTATAAATATGCTTTGC